TACACAGATTAATGTCTTTACAGTTCAAAGCTGCTGAGACAAAAGAGTCATAATTGAAAAGAAAATGTTGTCCAATTAAGGGGGAATACGGGGACAGATTATTTTGATAAATAGCAAATAAATCAAATTATATAGAAACAGTAAGTTATTCAGTGCCCTTCCAAATATAGATGAATAATATGGTAAGATCAGCAAGAGTTGGATAAACAATCAAGAATATCAGAAGGAAATCAATGACAGGATATTTTATCCAAAAAGTTCCAGCAATTTTTTTAACTACCCACATGAATGTAGACCTTAAACAAACGTATGTAAAACTGGAGATCACTAGTTATTAGAGAATTTCAAGTAATACTACTTGGCCCCAAATGTCATGCCTTCGTTTTGACTAGGCTTGATTATTGAGGTAGGAATTGAGAAGTGTTTGTCTGCTTTTTCTTTTTTCCTTTTTTTTTACTTGTAGTTCTCTGTTGATGAATGTCAGAGCTATGAGTCAGGCCATGTGTTTTTACTGCATGAAAAGTACAAAAGCAGGAATGCAATTAAAGGGTATTCAGGCAATGACAACGAGCAGAAGCACTTTAGCAAAGTGGACATGGATAAGGACATTTTAAGAAAGGAAATGACAGCATTTAATTTAGGTATTCTTTTCCGAAAAGAATAGTAACAGTGGATCAGAATTAAACTGTCATAAAGACAAACCCTGGAATGCAAAAAGAACCATAGGACCTTACTCGTGCGATCAAATCTTTGAATCACAGCGTAGAAAAAGAATATATTTGAATTTGATAAAGCTCCTTTAGTATTAAAGCCGTGCATAATACATGCGTCTGCAGCTGGCATGTGCACATAAAAAATTCTCCGATCGAAAACATATATTGAACGAAAAACTTGGTTTCTTTCAAATATATTATCACCAGCACTAGTGCACTTACAATGGTAGTATTTTCCAGTTGAACGGGCATCTACCATGACATTCCCAATCATTTCAGCATATATCTGGAGAGGTGGAAAAAGAACTACCAATATATTACCAACCATTTCCTAATGGTAAAAAATAACAAGATTCTTGACACGCTGCATGCAGAATTCCTCCCACTTGTGTTGAATGAAACATTTAACTATTCACAAGGGGCACTATTATTAAAATAGAATCACAAGAACAGAAGAGAAAGTCATCCTTGATTTTAATCTGGAAACTTAAGAAATAATCTTTGAAAAAATTGCAGGGAAATCAAACTTATCTAAATCTTGAGATGGTTCTGTGAGTTGGGCAAGAAGAAAGAAGGCACAAAACTCTGTAAGAATTTGACCAAGTATCCTTATATGTGGAAAAGCTATCTTTACAACTGTTTGATTTCGCTGCTCCATATAACTAGGAAGTATGAAATTGCCACCAAGGAGGTTGCCATTTAAGGAAACATTTCAACTAGTTACTTCGTGATGGCAACCTTTAGAGTTGCATACTAGCGATGATTAACATCATGCGATAGCATTGATTATTGATTGTGATGGATGTAGTGAAAGAACAGTAGGACCATGGCCGAAATGTTCTGGTGGAGTAGAATGCTAAAGAAACTTCAAAGACATTTTCTTTCTCAAAAAACATACTCGTAGATGAGCTTTATTACTGGATACATAGATCAATTTATCTGAAGTTCAGTATATCTATCCATTTTTATGCTAGAGTTATACTCTTGGTCCTATACCAACTCTTAAATGTTAAAATCACCTTGCATGCAGTATCAAACCCAAAACTTGTGGGAACCTCTTTGCATTTCAAGTCACCGTCAATGGTCTTTGGACATCCAATGACCCTAGTTTTCAGATTTTTACTCCTGAGATAACACATAAATAAAAGCTTCAAATCAACACCATAGTATATACATTAGATGCCGTTATAAAAGACCTAAGTTCATAAGAGAAGATTTTAGAGACAAAACAATAAACCAGAAGTGATGACAGTTTCTACAGATGATAGGATACTTACCTAAAGTTTTCAGCCAGAAGGCAAGCATTGGTGTTTGAGTCATCTCCACCAATTACAACAAGCCCATCTAAATCAAGCTTAAGTGCTGTTTCTTCAGCTTGCTTAAACTGAAATGAGTTCGTGCAACCTCTTTCAGTTCAGTCTCAGAAAGGGAATATTATCTCTATACAAATTTCATAATGTCTAGTAGAAGTAAACATATACCTGCTCTGGAGTCTCAATTTTGTCCCTTCCACTGCAAATCATATCAAATCCACCCTGATAGAAATATTGCAATTCAGGTAGATGCTACTCAACTTGAATAGTTTAGGCTTTAACCAAATAATCAATAAATCAGTAATAAGCATATTGCCGATTTGTATACCAAAATTATAGTCACAATACTCTAGATCATTAATGGCAAGTGAAACATTATTTAAACCTAAATGCAAAATGTCAATTGAACCCTAATCTTTAAGAATTCCACATGAACAAAACCATGTACATCACAGATAAACTTAACAAGTTTAGCCAAAAGCTAAAAAGGAAAAATAAAATAAAATAAAAATAAAACAATCAGCTGGCATATAGAGAACAGTATGCACTGGGGTTTCAAATAATTTCTTTGAATTTAAATTAGGTAACAAATTGTGGATTTTAAGAACATACTGTTTTGAATTTGCCATCATACTAGAAACATGTGTTAACATGGACGTGATCAAACTCAAAATATAAAATAAGGCAACAGCTTTATTTAGTAGAAAATGAATCAGCAAAATAATAAGAATATCATGTACATAAAGAAGAAAGTTACCTGATTTCTGTAAGGATAAATGTAGTCTGAAGTCAAAATCACGTATTTGCATTTCATGATCCCTGCCGGTCCACCTCTGAACCCATACATTGTGCTCCCTTTGCAACGATCCTGCAAGTAATCTGCAACCCATACACAAAACATAGCCCATTCAACTCAGAAAGAAAACATTGCAATACACGGAAGTACACATGGTGAAACTCAGAGACCCTAACCAAAAATTCCAGATATAACGTTGTGTCCTCCTGGAGCTTGCCCTCCAGACAAAACCACTCCAATCTTCAAGCCTTGAACCGGTGGGGTATCACCTGAAGCACCTGGTACCAACATTGCTGATGGTTGTCCAAACACGGATGGAAACAATTTGGCAATCTCATCTGCAATCAACCAATAATCATCAAATTCAGTTTAGAGCACTGTTGGAGACGCCGGAGTATGAAAATGTTGCATCAAGATAGTGATGGAATAATATAAATCTTAAATATTCAAATTCAATCGAAAGATGTAAGTTGACAGGAAAAATAAAAAATTGAATTATTCTCAGAACTCAAAATTTTGGCCATCCATCAATCAGAAATCCAATAGTTGATATTACTCTATTCTTCCAACAAAATTTCATTTTCACGTATATGGAGGCTATTGTATCCAGATCTACAAACTAAACTATAAATGAAACAAAACTTCACATTGAATTTCATAAAGGACTCTAGTTTCTTAAACCTTCCAATTTCAACATCTAGCAAAAGAAAAGCATTAACAGCTCCAGAGGTCGCAAAGTTCTTTCTCAGATCGATGTATCTCAATAAACAAACACACAACAAAAAAAAAAAGTTTCAAAACTCAGTCCCCATTTGGCCCTCATTCTATCCCAATTTTAATGGTTGGAATAGTGTTTTTTTGAAAAATACATGGTTGTAAAAAAAAAAAAATTTATTTGCGTGAAATATTATTTTATTTTATTAAAGACTGTGTTGTTAAAAATAAGAAAGTGAAAAAGTATAAGAAGTAGAATGGGACCAAACGGGGGCTCAATCACTCGCTTCAGAACCAAAAGTAATGCATAAATTTACGAGATCACAGGATGCTTTCATCAACAGATCAACTTCCTATTCATATCGCACGTACATTACATCACGGAGCACAGTACTTTACACTGAGGGTGAGTGTATAGATGTACTCAAATGTGTAAATATATACCAGGATTGCCGGCGGCGGAGCTAGGTGGTCCATCGACGACTTTGAAGGCGCTTCTGAGGACAGAGGGAAGAGGGAGAGGGTGATCGAGGCGGCTATTCTGTACTTCGCTGTAGAAGGCGGAATAACGGCCGGTAGCAGAGGGCTTGACGGTGGCGATTTCTCCATTAGCAACCAAAGCAGCGGCCATTTGAATTATTACCTTTTGAACCCAACACTGAGACTTCAGGGAGACCAAACCTCAGACCTTTCGGGGGAGAACTTTTGTTTTAGCTGTCCGGTTCTTTTCTTTCACTATCTAACTCGTAGTTGAGGGAGAAAGGGCAAAGTAGTCCTTCGGAAGCTCCGCCTTCAGCGAAGTTGTTGTGCGTAGGGGTGTTTTGGTAATTTAATTTTTCTACCTAACTCCCACTTTTCCATACAACTAATGCTATTCAGCGCCCATTTCACTTCCGATAAAATTATAATCTATTTGTTCTCTCTTTTTATTTATCATACATTTTTTAATAAAATAATATTAAACACGAATTCAAATTTTTTCTCATTTTTAATTACACATTTTTCAAAAAACAATACTCCAAAAATTATAATCTCAAATAATGTTGGCCAAATAGGAACTTAACATTGCCAATGGTAATCGCCTGTCTAAATGATATATAACTAAGTATAAATCACTTTAACAGTAGAAAAATAAATCACATTTATGATATCCAATCACTTCTAAACTAGTACTCATAAAAGTAGTGCAAAATAACATCATTCTACAACTTGTTATCGAATTATCTTTAATTATTTCCTTTGTTCTGGTTATGGACCGTGGTTGGTGGATTTTACTAAAATGCTGAAAGCATATTCGAGTTTACAAATGATTTGATTCCGTTTCCATCATCTTTCATTTTTGGGCTTGTTCTTATTGTAACTGTGGGCTAATGGCGTAACCAATTTTGGGCTAAGGAGGATAAAATAGAGAATTTTAGGCCTACTAGTCCAACGTCAACCTTTTCTACAAAATGGCCTAACATCAAAAATGAAAATTTGTTGAAGATTACATATCGCAATTCTGCATGCGTATTATTGATTACATAGCAAAACCTTGAAGTTCTTGTTCACTTTTAAATCTGGTACATGTCAATGCAGTTATAACCAGTATTAACTATTAAGTCACCTGCATTATTACACACAATTCTACAGGAAAATAAGTGATATGCCTATGGAGACAGAAGGGCGCTGCCTTCCTTGATGAGGACAAATATACTGCCACGGTCTCCTCTCGAGATCCGAAGATCATCATCAAGGTATGTTGTTAGGAGCCACGACTCCGCCTTGCTGCTGGAGATGGGAAACTTCAGTGGTGGCCTGCTAGAAATGGTTTTTGCAACAGAGGAAGCGGTGTCTTGGACAGAACTGAGTAAACCTTTGAAGGGCGTGAGATCAATCTTTTGTCCCAGAAATTCCACATTTTCTGGTAGTACGATAGAATCAGTCAGCTGAGGAGTGCCTATGATTCCTTCTTCAAACTTTATCTGCAATTCAGAATGGTGTGGTAAGATATAAAATAACTAACTTTTTTATTTAAAACGTGAGAGTATTGTAACCTATTCAAGCTATTTTAGGACGAAGGCAATGATCAAACAGAAAAAAACCATAAAAAAACCATTAAGTTTTTCCTTAAAAAGCAGTTCGTCAATTCATCATACAAGTTCCTCGTTTACAAAAGAAAGGAAATTTTTACTCATGATTTATTATTAGAAAATGTAAAATTAGATACTAAAGTTACCTGCACACGCTGGGGACTTCGAACTTCAAATTTGGCATTGGTACTTATTGAAGTGGTTGCCAACGGCCCAGCAAAGACGACACAGTTCTGGACTGTGAAATTCTCTGAGTCAATGGTCTGTGATATCTCTTCAAGAGTCACCAATGTCAGTGTTCCCCTTGATAATAAAGGAAACAAACCCGCAAAAGATGTGTACCTGCAGTGCCTCTCAGAAAAAAATAGTTAGTCAATTTTTATGCAATATAATCTTAGCAATCAATGATCAGGCTTCGAGACCATGACCAAGGCAGGGTTGTTGCAACCCTGTTATAAAATCTAAAGATCTTGCAGTAAGCTACAACAAAAATATGCCATCAATATCATTCAAACCAAGTAAAGAAGTGTACGAGAAAAGCACTATAAAGAATGACTATTGGTTAAAAATGATTCAGGGTCAAATAAAACTTGAGAAAAAAATAGGGGAAGTCATTTTTCAAGAAGTATAACACCCTACAGAGACTTCAAAATGACACAGGAAAGGCAGAAAACTAGATGGCTATTTGAGTTTTCCACTTCGCGTTTTATATGCAGCCTTTACATATCAGTGACAAGCAATGATGGACTGTTTATTTTTTTATAAGCATTGTAGTTGCGCTTGCAGTTGAGAGAAGTTGGCTTTACTGTGTGAAAGAAAAACCTTCGAAGGAATCAGTGGAGAAATTTTGTGTTAATCTTGTATCCATAGAACATCTGGCGTGACATAGATAATGAATAAATAGGAGTTAATATCATTCCAATTGCCACTGCAAAAGCAATTAGTTGCTGGAACTATGTGGTATGGTTCAGCAGCTACCCCCATCGAATTATTTGGGCACACTCGTTACCTTTTATTTGTGAGGAGCTGGATGAGAAAAAACTCTCCCATCTGGTTCTGTAGTAGAGATGGAATTGTGAAACAACCATCAACTATAACAAGTAATCATTTATTAAATTTAAATAGGTCATTTTTCTTTGGTGAAATCGAATTCAAAAATGAAAGAAGCAATGTTTTACAGAATACTTCACATCTGACACTATATACAGATAATTATACAGAAAACTCCTGTTCTGAGTTTCTACTGCAACTCCAAATATTATGATGGTGGCTAGTTCCAGTTCTTCTCAACCTCAGTTCTGTCAATTCTCGTCTTTTTAGTCGAAATGTACACAGTGTAATAAGTTCCCACTTCTTAATATATTATTGGTCCAGATCTCCTCTCCCGTTTTTTTTTTTTTTTTTTCCCTCCCCGCCGCTGAAGCAATTTTTTTCCCTATCCCGCCCCTCCGAGAGCTCCCCGCTGGCCCCTCGCTTTCGATCGACGCCGGCTCCGCGGACCCCACAATCGCTGGCCCGTTCCCTCCGCGGTTGCGATCGCTCCCTGCGCTGGACTGACATCAAATACGCTCGGACCAGATCGGAAGAGCGTCGCATGAGATTCAAAGCACAGAAAGTTTGCAATGAAAATGGTATAAATTTTCTGGTAGAAAAGCAGGCTATTTATAGACTTGTTCATGGCCATTCGAACAGTCATCACCTTTCAGACAAGCCTCAAAAATTCGAATAGACATATTGTTCTTAAAAGTCATGTCTGTTAAGTCGGTTAACAGTCGGCTGTTTGGTCAGTAAACAGTCGACTGTTTGGTCGGTAAATAGACGACTGTTAAAAGAAAATAAAACACCCCGGAATAATAAGCCAAAATTTAAATTTCATAATGTACCCAAGAATTTGATTATTTACAATTTGGCCCAGAATTTTAAATAAATTTTGTCCAAAAAAGTTAATATAGTGTAAAGGTCCACCCGGACCCGCACCGGACTCGGACTCGGACTCGGGCCGTGCCGACCGGTCGGACGGTGGCGGCGGCGCGCGCATGTGGGTTTATGACCGAACCCAATAGGATATAGGTCTTCCCCCTTCCAAAAACTATTGGTACCCCTTGGGGCCCAAACCCAATTCCAAACTTCCACCTTATAAACCACACCAAAGTTTCCTAACTTTTCTATGTAGGATAAGTGTTTAGAAAATCAAATTCTTCCATAATACTTAGTTTGTGTGAGTTACTTTAACACTTAATATTTCATTCAATTTTAAATGGATTTCAATAAATAAATATATCACGTTAATCATCTCGCGGAGTAGAACGTGAATATGCTAGGTCCCGTATTAATTAAAAG